ATAATTTATAATTTATAATATTATATTATAATATATTAAGCTATAAATAATTAATAATCAATATATATAATTAATTAGTTGATTTTAATATTCTATTACTAAACTAAAATAAAATATTATTTAGTAGTTATATAATATTATATTAAAAATTAATATAACTTCCAAAAATAGATAAAATAATAATAAAGAAAGGTAGATAAATAATTTAAAAAATAGCTAAATAATCTATAGAGACCTTATATATCTATTAATAATAAAAAAATAAAGAAAATAGATAGAAGGGGGTATTTTCAATATAGTAATACTTTTTATAACTACTATAGATAAACTACGCAGGCATGTAATTTGGAATTGTACAATATTGACTCGACTCGACTCCACTATGAAATCAATCTCAACGAACAAACTACAACCACTGCAACAACCACCACGCTACGCTAGTCCAGCGCCACAAGAGTCACCAGCTTGACTCACGCAGTCAGCCCATCGAGTCAACGACCGCCATCACCATGGCCAACCCGTACATCCTCGCATCAGACAACTCGCCGGCCCTTCTGCCCTTGCTGCGCGCCGATCCCGCCCTCGCCGCCCGCCAGGACGAACACGGCTACTCCCTCCTGCACGCCGCCGCATCCTACAACCATCTCGACCTCCTGCGCACCCTGATCAACGAATTCAAAGTCGACGTCAACCTGACCGACGAAGACGGCGAGACATGCCTGTTTGTCGCGGAGTCGGTCGAGGTAGCGCGCTATCTGGTCGAGGAGGCGGGCATTGACAAATCCAAGACAAACGACGAGGGCCTCACGGCCGCCCAGGCAATTACCAACGACGGCTCGTTCCCGCTTGTCGCAGCGTACCTGAACGATATTATACTGGGTGAAGCGAAGGGGGAGCTGCCGCCGAACGTGAAGGTGTCGTTTGGCACGACGGAAGTAAATGAGGGTGATGGAGAAGGGGAGGGGGATGGGGATGCTGATGGGGTGGTGGTTGATGCGGCGCTGCGGGCGCGCATAGAGGAGCTTGCGGCGCGCGGCAACTTTCATAGCGAGGAGGGACAGCGCGAGCTGCGTGGGCTGGTTACGGATGCGCTGCGCGGGTCTGGCCCGGAGTCAGCTGGTGATGGTGAGAGAGACACGAAGCGGCGTGGGTGAGCACGAGTTAGACTACGCTGGATGCTGGACGCTGGATGCTGGATGCCATTTTACCGTGGGTCGTGTCGTGGTGCGTTGACTGGCCTGGTTCGGATGTCAATGGCTGGCTGGCGAGTTAACCGGGCCATGAGTCGAACACTGCGCGCGTCGTGTGTTGCACGCTGCATGCTGGATGGCCGGCTGGCTCGATGCGATGCTGCCGTGCCTGTCTGGGAGGGGAGCTCGACCTGGGCAGCTCCATCTCCGGCTTCAGCTCCGCCGCTAGTTACATGGACAAGGGTGTATCATAGCATAGCATAGCATACGTATGATATGATGCGGCGATGAGTCACAGCCAGCCAGCCAGCCAGCCAGCTAGCAAGCGAGCAGCCTTGTGCTTCACCAGCAGAGAGATGCATGGGCTGGTTAGTCTAGTCGTATCGTTGCTGTGCTGTCTATGCTGTGGGAGGGGAAGTGCCGTTATCGTGTCCTAGCACCGCATTGCATTACATATTACACTCGGCTGAGCTGGCCATGCCTACCATGTATCACTCTCTCACTCACTCACTCTCTCACTCTCGTCTTCTCTACCAATATCCATCTATCAAAATCAACATCTACCAAATCAATGCTATAGTGGTAGGGGTGCACCTGTATCAGCCACTCTGCCCGTCTCTGACCAACCGCATGGCTGGATGGTGTAGTTGGTTATCACGTATCGCTCACAAAAGGGACGGAAGATCTTTTCCTCCGCCTTGAAGGTGCCGATAAGGTCCTGGGATCGAACCCCAGTCTAGTCATTATTACATTTTTGTCTTCTTTTTTTTTATCTCTTGATTACTGACTGACTGATTGATTGATGTATAGATACGCTGGTTGTGTGTGTGGTATGGACTTTTATTGCGTGGTGTTACATGTTCCGCCTGCTGGCTGGCTGGCTGGCTGGCGTGGGCTGAGCTGGCTATCTAAGAAGCAACAGTAGAGCGGAAGGATGGTGGATGAAGGTAAGGTAGGTAAGGTAGGTAATCTAGACATGGACGAGAGCGTACAGCGTACAGCGAGCAGAGAAGAGAAGAAGAAGAGAATAAGAGAAGAGGAGTAAGTAGGGCGGAAGAAAGGTCCTTACTTACATATCATATGGTAGAACGAAACTCTTGCATTAAAAAAAAGGCGCAAAGTAGAAGAAGAATGGACGATATGAGTGATAATTCTAGAGAAGAAGAAAAACGGGAGAAAGAAGATAAAAAAGGAGATGGTCGTTTCGTTGACGGATGTCGCTTTTTGGTTTGGATTTTGAGTCAGTTTTGACGGCAGCGGCAACGGGAATTTTTCGAAGAAAGAGAAGACAAATAAAGCAAGCATGAATTTAAGACCGAAGTAAAAGGATCCTGAACGCCGCATGCAGATTTAGATGGTGAGAAAGACGAGCAAGTTGAACACGCATGGAATAAGATAAGTCAAAGGTCAAGTTCAAGTTCAAAAGGGGGCGGATCTGGCCTGTCCTGTTCCTGATCTGGTCTGGTCTGGTCTGGCCTTGATCTTGCCAGGCGGGATGGGGAAAAATGGTTGATCAGGCGTCGAAGAAGTTGAAATGAAATGGAATGGAATCCGAACTGGGGGCCGTCCAGCCGTAAGTTAAGTAGAAAAGGAAAGTAGAAAAAAAAAATATACAAGAGACATTCAAATCAAATCAGATCAAATCAGGACACTCAAAGCAAGGTGAAGAGAAAAAAAAAAAAGTGTTTTAAAACGACTCCCTAGAAGAGAAAGAAAAAAGACGGAAGAAAACAGTAAGGTATCTCAATGGCTTTTTTAGTGTTGTTGTTGTAATTTTTTTTTTTTTAGTCGATTGGTTTTTTGATCGAAGGGGAGAGTGACCCGACAGTTGGATCCGGACGGGAGGGACATCATGCATGGATCAGGTCAGGTCAGGTCATTTTCATAGCGCATTCAAGTCATCCGATTCGTCCCGAAAACGATTTTTTGCCTCCGACCGTTTGGCCGTTGCCCATCCTCCTGTGGGCCCAAGAGTGCCCTAGTTTCTTTGGACCGACCGACCGACCGACCGGCCGACAGACAGACAGACAGACTGACTAAGGCCGAGAACCGAACCGAGCCGAGAGAAGAGACAAGTGCAAAGGTAGGTAGAAAAATCGAACAAACGCAACAAAGGGAGTATTTCGGTATATCTTTTTTTTTTTTGTAAGTCTCAGCGGGTCGAGGCCAGCGGTTTCTGTTTTCGAGGCTGGTCAATTCAATTTCAATTCAATCAAGTAATCGTTTTTTGTTTTTTTCTTCATTGTACATTCATATCAATCTGTGGACAAGGACAAGATAGCAAGCAGGCTTGTCTCTTTCGGCTGGCTGGTTGGTTGGCGCGTGCCTTAATCATTCAATTTTATAAACCAAAAGCGAGTGAGTGTAGAAGCTCATGTTGTTTTTTTCTCGTTCTGAAAAATTCTTGTTCAGTCGTGATTATCTCACATACCATACGATATGCTGTGTGCGTCGATGTGTTTGTGGGGTATCATTGGTAATATTTTTATTGATTGTATTTTTTATTTTAGTTTCTTTGATGAAACGAAAATGGGATGAGATGACAGATATGCGCACTGCGCAGCGCGATTATAATTATTGCCCGACGTTCTGCTTCATTGGCGTCAGTTAACAAAGAAAGGAAAAGAGATTAAGCGAGGAGCGAAATGGAGTCAGCGTACCACTGCAACGAAATTGCTGCCGTCCGCGGGCTGGACCTGGCCGTGACCCTGGGCATCCACGGGGGTGCTAGTGCCCTGCTCAAACGAAGGCGCATGACCATTCGCGGAGAGAGGGGAGAACTCTGGTGCGGCGGAGGAGAGTTTGGCGGGCCGCTTGGGCTCTTCCGCCGAATGGTTGTCTGCGGGTACGTAGTTTGTATTAACGTATGTTCCGTTCCCATGGACATGAGCATGAGCATGAGCATGAGCATGTCCATTCATATGCACCTGTTGTTGTTGGTGCTGCTGCGGAATATACTCCTGAGCAGTGGCGGATGAAGGCCCCTCGTTTCTGGCGGAGGGATCCCGCTCATCCATGCTGAGCACCCACTGAGCCCACTCCTCGCGCTTCCTGAGCCGATCGACGCCATCTTCGCCAGGCCGGTACTCGACGTTGCGCAGCTGTCTGCATACGAAGCGCAGAAGCTCCATGTCCTCGGTAAGCGACTTGATGCGCTTGAAGGATGCGATGACGGAGAGCAGCACGTAGCCCTGGGAGTCCATGTGGCGGCGCAAAAAGAGGTCTTTGCACAGGTTGTCGACGGAGAAGTAGTATTCGAGCTGCATGGAGATGGTGCCCATGAGCGAGTAGTGTTCCATGTATGGCTGGTAGGACATGGCTGTCATGGGACCGGCGGGGAGGGCATGAGGGTAAGGGTAGAGGATGTTCATGTCTGTCTGGATGGGGTAAGGAGCTGGGAACATGCCTGGGTTAGGCATTGAGGGGGACCGCATGTTCATACGGGTATTTGTGGCAGTGGAGGAGTGTGGCTGTTGCTGTTGTTGCTGTTGTTGTTGCTGGGTGCCATTGGCAGAGGGCTGGATGCGGTGGCGGTCGGAGAAGTTGTTGTATGATTTGGAAGAAGGGAAAGGATGCTGTGGGATTGGAGCGGAGTGGTAGGATGAAGAAGCAGAAGCCGAGGAAGTTTGGGTGGTGTAGGCCGTAGTATTGTTGTTAGTGTTGTTAGTGTTGTTGTTGTTGTTGTAGTTGGAGTGGCCGCCTCGACCGCCGCGGTAGCCACCACGGCCTCCTCGCTCTGAGCGGGATTCACGCGTGTATTCGCGGGAGTACTCGCGGTCCTTGGAGAAGTCCTTGTCTCCTCTGGGCTGGTAGTCCTTGAAGAACTCACCGGAGCGAGCGCCCATGTCGAACCGCCTGTCGTGGTTGGCGTATCTGGAGTGGCCGCCGGCATGAGAGTCTGAATTGGCCTGTCTGGAGGCGTGCTGGTGGTCTGCATGGGTGTTCTTGTACGAGGAGGAGCTGTTCTCGTGGGACTTGTGGTAGGGCTTGGAGTGGTGAGGACGAGTAGGGGATTGAGAAGACGAGGTAGGATCGGAGGAAGTAGCATTGACAGTGTTGATGCTGTTCTGGGCTGGCTTGTTATCCTTGGTCGCCTCAGCGGGGGCAGCAGAATCACCGTTTTTCAGGCTCGCATCAGCGGCGGTGGTGGTAGACTTATGAGCAGACTCGGTAGCATCCCCTTTCTCACGGTCTCCGGCAGAAGAAGGCTTCGACGAGGCGGACGTATTGGTGGCAGCTCCTCTATCACCACCGGCATGGGCACCACCTCTGGAGCCACCTTCACGCGCACCACCTCTGGGACCACCACTCCGGCCACCTCTCCTGGCAGCAGGTGGCAAGGGGGTGTTGAAGACGGCCGTGGGAACATATGGCACGGGCATCCACTTCTCTTTGCCGTGGGTTCTAGAGCCAGCAGGCTTCTCCTTCTCGGGCCGTTCAGGCTTGTCAGCTTGATCCTGGGCCTTGCGCAGGTCTTCACCCTGTGCAGTCTGTGGGGTGGGCCAGGAGGAGGCGTCGTTGACTGGTGGGAGGGATTCACCGTCCTGTCTAGCCGGCCGAGCACTTTTCCTCGATCCTATAATATTCGTTTAGTAAGGGTGCAAGTAGTGATAAAAAATATGGAGAAGGTTGAGACATACCGTCGGAAGCTTTCTTTTTGTCACGGGGATCTGAGGTTGCGGGATCAGCCTTCTTCCTGCTACCGCCCTTGTAGTGTTCAGGCCTGACATCGCCGGACGAGGTCTGAGTAGAGGTAGACTTGGTAGTGGTAGTGTTGGTAGTAGGAGTAGTAGTGGTGGTGCTGGTGCTGGTGGCCGTCGTAGTGGCAGCAGGTTTTAGGGCGTTGGCCTTTGCCTTGGCCTCCAGGGCCTCCTGTCGTTGCTGCCAGACGTTGACTGCCGGCGGTGGAGCAGCCTTGAGCTCTTTCTGCTCCTTTTGCTCTTTCTGCTCCTTTTGAGTATTAGTGGTGGTGGTGGTGGTGTTCTCCCAGCTGGCCTCTGACTTGGGTTTATCGTCGTCTGCCAGGGGAGCCGTTGACGAGGCCGAGCCAGCCGACTTGTCCTTGTTGTCAGCAGCGGTGGAAGCCTGGGACTGCTTCTCCCACTCTGACTCTGAGGCGGTGGCGGTAGTGGTGCCGTTGGGTGTGGTGGTGGAGAGGTCGTCTTCCTTGACCAGGGTCGAGGCCGTCGAAGCAGACAGTCCTAGCGAGGGAGATGCCGAAACCGCCTTTCCAGCATCATCTGCATCTACCATGGTCGTAGTACTGGTATTAGCAGTGGTAGTAGCAGTAGCAGTAGTTTCTTCCACACTGGGAGGCGCGGGAGTCTGCTTGTTGGAGTCAGAGGCAAGGCCCTTTGCGGCCTGGGCGTATGAAAAGACAGGCATCTCTGGAGTGGACTTTTTGGCAGAGACCGAAGAGGCTGCCATCAGTGTGTTATTATTATTGGTTTTATGCTTGTCGTGGAAGAAGGACAAGACGGTGGTCCGAGGGAGGAGGTCTGCCACTAACGGCAACAAGAGGAGGTCGGAGTCAACCACCACCAAGCAGAGTCAGTCCCCGCCTTTAACCTGGCTAGAAGAGAATCAGAAAGAGTCGTTCATCAAGTAGAAGTAGAAGTATTTGTGTGTGTCGTCCTGTCGAAAAGGCAGAGAGAGTCGCACCCAGGTCGAAAGGGGAGGTACCTTTTTCTTTCTTAGGCCTTTTTTTCAGCAGACAGAGAGATGGGCAGCAGATTCTTCTTCTGGTCGTCTTGTCTGTTGTTAAGCAGCAAAGTAGGACGAGGAGGGCGTCGGTGTGTCGTCGTCGTCCGTCCGTCTGTCTTGCGAGAGAGTAGAGAGAGAGGTAGGTAGAGGACGAGGACGAGGACGAGGACCAGCGAGATCGACACGGGCAAGGAAAAGAACGACTGCAGCGGCAACGCCTGTTCAAGTCAGTCTCTCTCTTCTTATATCTCTGCTATAGTCTTCCTTCTTCTGTCTCTTGTTATATCTTCTCTTGTAAGTCCTCCTTCAACCCCTCATCCAGGCCAGGTCACCAGAAGAGCAGGCGAGAAACGAGGGAGAAAAGACAAGAAGACAAGAAAGACAAGAAGTACCTTCGCGAGGCCAATTGCCCACTGACGGCGAGCTCAGGCAGGACGCAAGCCAGGCGAGAGCAGCAACAGGACGCAGAGGACGGCGAGAGGCAGCCTTGACGCCTGTCGAGGGGGGAAGTTGAAAGATGGGCGAAATAGGTGCTGGGGGGTAGAGGAGGGTTTTGGGTTGTGCGGCGGTTTGGAAAGGAAGAAAAAAGTGTGAGAAAGGAAGAAAAAGGGAAGAAAAGGAAAAGGAAGAGAGAGAGAGAGAGAGAAGAAGTAAGTCAGAAGGAGAGAAGAAAAAAAAAGAAAAGAAAAAAAAA